GCACGGGCAACAAACATCCTTGTACTTGGATGTTGTACAGCAGTCGTGACTCCAAAGCATAGAAACGCATGCCTTTTTTGAAAATTGTGATACATTTCCTCCCACTGACTTTGCATGTATCATGTCCACAGCGGAAAGGATGTAGGAAGGTGTTTTTCTTTATGATTTAGTTTTTTTAAACTGGTTGGTGCTGGCAGGTAGTGGAATTTGCTGCAGGCTGCCTTTAGGTATCATCATATATATTCTTTTCAGTTGCAAGTATACGTTTGGACATTCCTGGTCAAATTACTTCTTTGGTGGACAAAGATAAATGTTTAATGTATCCCCTGCGGGGGAATAAACTTGCACATGTAACATATCTGCATATTGTTGTGCACGTATTTGAGAACGATAACCGATTGGAGTAAAACCTAAAATGTACAAAGCCTTGGGAACCCTGTCAGTAGTTGGTAAGTCTTTGAGTAATAGGAGCCTAGGGTCCATTCATATACTATTCTGCATTTTGTTTTGTTTTTATTATTTTTTTTGGAGTTGGGCAAAACTTACCTGAGCCCTATCTCAATCAAGTGATGTGCACGAGAGCCTCATCTCTTCCAGGTCTCTCTCTCATTGGTGGAGACTGCAGTGAAAGCCATGTGCTCCCACTACTCTCCATCAGTCAGTGAGTCAGGAGAGAGTGGGGGCTGGGCCGAGCAGCGCTCCATGTGTAAATGGACACACAGAGCAGCGGCTCGGGAGCCATCATAGCGAGCTGCTTGCTGGGGCACTAGGCAGAAGGGTGGGGCCTGGAGTACCGGCAGGGGATCAGGGTAGAGGAGCATCGGCGCTGCTCTGTGCAAAACCATTGCACAGAGCAGCCATGTTAAAAAAAAAAAAAAAAAAACAAAAAAAAAAAAAAAAACCTTTTAACCAATAGCCGTTTGGCGGCCAGGAAAAGGCTAGATTTCTGGGTGGACGCCATATGGCGTCCTTCCGCACATACAGTTTTCGCGCTTGCAGAGCCGCTCAGCGGCGCGATCTGTCACCAGCCGTGTTCCTTGGACACTGCCGATAACAGATCTGAGTACCGGTACCATGTGACCTGGTGTGACCAATCACAGCAGGTCACATGACAGTTGTATACAATGGATGGCTTCATTCATGCCATCCATTGTATACTAGTGTCTAGCTGTGAATGGTCACAGCGATCACATGCACATGTCATGTGATTAACTGTGGCCAAATCACAGCTAAGCACAAAAAAAAAACCCTGAATGAATCGATGTCATTCAGGTAAATGATTGCTTATAGCAAAGTAATTCTTTGCTATAAGCAAATTGTGTAAAAAAAAAAAAAAAAAAAAAAAAAAAAATCACTTCCCCAAAGTAGCACAATGTTACTTCCGCGCTGCATAGCAATCGCACTGTGCTTGTGCGATCTGCGGGTGTCAACTAAAAGCAGACACCCCAAAAGCAGGTCGCAGAACGCAGTGCATTTGCTTGAGGCTGGGTTCACACTGATGTGATTCGCACAGGAATTGCACCACTTTCCTATGCAAAGTACATGCAATTCTGTGCGGTGCGATTTGAGCCCATCATTTTGAATGACTGAAATCACACCACATCTGAAAAATGTGAAGCCCCCCCCCCCCCCCTTTTTCTTCACTTCACTAGAATTGGATTGCATGAGTATAAATCACATATAACATGATGCAGCGCTAGTAAAACCTTAAAATCTCACAAATATGTATAATAATGATACACAAATACACAGAATACACACATGAACGTGATTGAACAGAGAAGTGACCCCAATCCAATCGTGGATCATAAAAACGTGACCCCCAAGTCCTATAGGACACAATAATAAAAGGATGATAAGATACAGATCCCTAGAAGGGATCAAAACAGCACATTAAGTGAAGCACACAGTGACTAATAAGTCCATATATCAGTGTGGTGATCATCCCATTCATGCATGTTGTGGAAAAGACGACCTCGATGTGGTGATCATCCCATTCATGCATGTTGTGGAAAAGACGACCTCGATGTGATCCCCAACGGAGTAGCTAGAATGGCTTCCCACCTCTACTTCATGACCCTGCAGGGCCACAAAGCAAAAAAGCTCCTCTGGATCTCCAATCTATCACTAAGATGACATCCCCAGGTGATAAACTTTCACCATTCCACTGGACCGATTGGTAGACAGCTTAACACTCCCATAGGTGCCATAACACATATGCTCATATAACAGAACAAAACTCCATAGTGAAGTACTGTTTATTGGCATATAAATAAAAAACAGAAATGCACTCACATGGGTATCTCTTGTGTAAAGCAAAGTCCAGTAGTATCAAGGTAGAATCCAATGGGCACAGTATACAGCTTGCATCACATACACTAGCCAGGTGTACTGCATGAAGAAAAAGCGCTTGTTGGGTATACAAAGATGGCGCCACACCGGAAGTGCGTCACACGTTGCCGTCGACGCGTTGCATCTCGTGACTTCATCAGGACCTGATGAAGTCACGAGGTCACATGACGCAACATATGCCGTCCTCCCAGAACGAGAGAACCGCCTTGCGCCCGTCATTGTACTATATGGGAGGCGGATAAGCAGAATATGTATGGGTGGAAATCTGGAAGCTGCCACTGCTGACTCTTCTTGAAGGTGCACACTCCATAATGGTTATACTTCCTTTGGGTCCTTTCACATGGGCTTTCTAATCGGGTCCATCTGTCAGTTTTTCCGGTGGATCTGATTGGAAGCTCCATGCAGCTCTGTGGACAGGTGCATGTAAATAGACTTGTGTCCATTTTATACCCGCCTACCATCCAGGTCTGGCAAAAAAACAGAAAAAGAACTGTGTCCCGCCCGTAGAGGCCTTGTACTTGGTGTTTGTTTCTGACTATTTTGTTTCCTCAACAAAAATAAGACTTTAATAAAAAGGGGCCTTTTGAGCTTTTGCGGACCTAACTGGAGGATTGGAGGTAAACTGACAGTGGAGTCTGTGTACATCCAGCCACCCATAGAGCTAGATTGTGTCCATCAAAAAACAAACTGAATAGGCATGAATGTAAAAAAATGACATCTCATTTGGCTCAGATTCCACTGGTGAGCTCCTCAGGGATCCCCTGCTGATTGAAGTGGTTATCGCTCCATGTCAGAGCCCTTGCATAGGGAGTCGCCAGTCCAGCACAAGCATGTGTGTTGGGAGACCTGACATTTACTGGCGGCATGCTTGTTCCAGGTCCTTTGTTTGGTCAGTAGTGAAGCAATTATAAAGCGCCTTGAAACTTGCATCGTTATGATCATGTTGGCATTAACTGCTCCTACACTATTCTGTTGAAGTATTATGGGGAAATGTACTGTGTAACAGACTTTGTTTTTCCTGCAGGCTGTTTTCTGTGTCTACAGCGTGAAAAGCAATAGACCGGATTTAGCTGTGTGTATGAAGCTGCACGAGTGCTGTCTAAGCAGCCTCTGGCCTCTCTAATCACAAATGTTTACAGCTGATAGCAGCATCCGTGTCCCAGCCATACGGACAGGCAACTTCCCTCTCTCTCTCTCTTCCTTACAGTACAGGCTGACTAGTCTTGGTATCTGTCTTGCGTACAATGGGCGTGTGGACTTTGTCTTTACAGTGTAGATATGCATTAGGTTACATCAGAGTTCAATGTGCTATGAGTCAAAAGAACACCTCCCCACTGACTTGTTAGCCTTGTATCCTTTGTGTGTCAAAGAAGTTCATAACATAAGAAACTGCATTAGCAAATGTCTAACTTCAAGTAATTCTAAACTCTAGTTTGTTTTTTTTTGTTTTTTTAAATAAACCTTTTACACACTCCTGCTCTGTGCAATGGTTTTGTACACTGCAGCCCCCCTCCATCATAAGATTTGATTGAGAGCAGCAAGAGCCTATGTCTCCCACTGCTATCAGTTTACCCTGTGAGGAGGTAGAGAGCCCAGGGAGATGCTGCTCTCATGCACATTGCTGGATCAAGATCAGGCTCCGGTAAGTATAAGAGTGGGCTGTGGGGGAGTTCCACTTTAAGTCTTTGTCTCCCACTCCCCATTTAAGGATTGGCACCTTGGCGGAGCGGGTACCTGAATTTGCATGCGCAGTGGGCACCCGGCTGTGAAGTCGCAAGCTCACAGCCGAGTGCCCATGCTGAAGATGCTGGTGCGAGAAGACACCCGGTGAAATCAGCAGTGGTGAGGACACCGCTGGACCGAGGGACAGGTAAATGTCTGTTTTTTAAAAGTCGGCAGCTACAGGTTTTTGTAGCTGCTGACTTATTTTTTTCAGGTGGAACTCTGCTTTTAAGGTAAAAGATGCGTAAGGCTGTAGAACGACTTTAAGTTTGTGTTCAGTGCAGATCTGTGGGAGGAGATGAGCTGATATCACAAGCAGGGTTCTGTAATCAAATACCCCCAGTTATTGAGGTGGCAAAAGAAGATAAAATTATTGAATTCAGTAGTCACTATTTTCTAAAACTGCCACAAAGTACAATCAATAATGTATACATTATTCTGTTCTGTTGACTTTTAAGTGGAGTTTTCTTTGATGAATAATTAGGGATACGATGCACGCTCCTCGATTCGTGGGCACAAGCTTTTCAATGCTGGTTTGAGAACCTTTGTTCTGCTATTCATGAGCACCTCCCTTCTTTCTTCTTTTTTTTTTTTTTTTTTTTCTAGGGTGGGGGGGGAAGGCTTATTCCTCTTCTTGCTGCTAAGTCTGGTAACAAACACTGCTCACTTCCATTATTGCCTGTGTAGCTAAGGTTCCCAGGTAAATTACTTCAGCTTATTTTGGTGCTGTTATTATCCAATATCAGTCTTGGTAAAGGTGAGGCAACTATACAAATATCCTATTTTTCTCCTTCATGGTTTGAGTTCTGGGGAACCTGTGATGGTTCCAGCCATGGCTGTCCTCAAGCTATGTTCAATGATCTCGGAATTGTCCATTTTTCAGCTTGCTAACATGTTGGGTTTTTTTTTTTTTTTTTCATTTTCAGATATTATTACAATAAAAGGATCCTGCATAAAACAAAGGGGAAGAGGTTCACCTATAAATTCAACTTCAACAAACTGGTCATGCCCAATTATCCTTTCATCAACATCAGACCAAATGGTAAACCTGCACACTTTTGTTGTTACTGTGACATTTAGAAGAACATACTTTTTTCAATGTAATTTCTCAATTTTTATTTCATATTTTGATTTTCTTTTATTTATCTAATTGTTATCAATATTAGGAAATGTTATGTTCTTAAAGAATAAAATGTTCATGTTTAAATCCTGTAAATTGGAAGTAGACATGTATAGGTGGTTGTAAACAATGAAAATATGAAAAAAAGCATATCCCTCTATCGTGTGTGCTTGTCTCAATCCAGAGCAATCCAACTGTAATTTCTGTCCACTGCCCCATTCCTCTGCTAGAAGCATGAGTTACTTCTGACAAGTTTCCTTGACACCAAGAAACAAATGGTGATGGGGAGGGAACAGCCTATGATTGGCAGCCTCAGCTCTGTTCCTGTGTGCTGTATTAAGGGGGGGGGGGGTCCCTTTCCTCCAATCGGCTCTCAGAGCTCTCCTTACTGATTGTAACTTCAGCACCCGTCCCCTTTTTTCTGTACTCTTAGACAAGCTTTATAAACTCAACACTTTGGATGTAGAGAAGACTGCAAATAAACATGTACAACTTATGTAGGAGGATTTGTTTCCTCTCTATGTATCTTCTGAGACCAGGCACTTCACTGGGTATATGTAAGGAATTACAACAAAAGGTGCCGTATGTATTGTCACTTCATAGAGATTGCCATGAGCCACAAAGCCCAGGATTGTTAAATATGCAAATGGTGACTTCAGTTGAAGCTTTGTTCATTCTTGAGATGGATCATCTCCCCATTCTTTGTAGAATCATGGATGGGGCTGAGGTGAACCCCTTTCCAGACCAACGTCACTATGTTTGTCCAATTTCCTGGAGGTTCTGCAAGGTATATGGCTGAGCATGTAGCAATTTGGTTTCTTACCATAGAGGTTTGTCTGCAGTTTAGGACATTCACAATCCAACCAAATAAAAGGGTGTATACAGTTCTGCATGTATACAAAACATTCCATTTAAAGATTAAGATACTTCTAGTTTAATGGAATCCACTTCCTGACTTTTGTAAACACTGGTGACACGGCCATGGTCTTTAGCTGCTTCTGGGAAGGATACATCACCATTGCATAATGTTGGAAATGGAAAGCCGCCAACCCGTTCCTCCAAATATGATGATGTTATTAATGCAGGTAGAGTACAATAAATACAAAGGCTTACCCGGTTTTGGCCTGTGGCCTTAGTCATTGCCGTAATGTAAGGAAGACTGCAAGCCAATGCACTGATTACACGTCTTCTCAAGGAATCTGGGTGTTGCCTTTGTACCCACATATGTCACCATTAAAACACACACTATGTAATTTTTTTCTTTTTTCTCTTCATTTATGTTTTAGGTTTTTATATATAAGTTTCTATTAGTAGAACAAAGAAAATTTTAAATTAGTGAGTAAAAAACTGGTTAATTTTTTTTTTTTTTTTTAATTAAATCAAATGTTGCCATTTAAGGAGCTCCTAATTCTACTACTTTGTTGTTTAAAACAATGTGCGTATTCTCACGCATGCTGAAGGAGCATATTGGTGGGATGGGGGGGATTCAATAAAGCTGCTGCACCACTTTTCTGACAATCCCTTTTGTTAATTGTGCCAAATTCATGAAGCATTTGCAACCACTTTTGGTTCTGACAGCGACTCCTGCACCAAATTTAGTTCTGGAATACACCACGTTTACATTGTGTCTATCTGTGCATTCTAAAGATGGCGCAGCATGAGCCAAACTCAGGTCCTAGACAGGTACATGAAGTTGGTGCATTCAGCATCGCTTTTACAATGTATGAGAGACACTTGCATAATCTGTGTCAGTCTTGATGAATTCCAGGGATTGTGTATTTAATATTTCTGACATTCAGAAGGGAAGTCGGGGAAATTGCTCCAGTAGTGGCTGTATATGTCCAATTGATCTTGGTAAATGCGTTTTCAGCATCTGATAGCTGTAGTAGGAGTTTTATTTTGACAGCGCAATTGCAGATAGATTACTTGTGCCTAAACCAAGCTGTGAGGCTAGTAAATGCTACATGTAATGAGGCCAGGTTTCAAACAGGTTAGTGCCCTCCTATCCCTCTTGTATTGAACTTTTATTGTTGTTGTATTGTCTCCCTTTGTATTGTAAAGCGCTGCGCAAACTGTTAGCGCTATATAAATCCTGTATAAATATTATTATTATACAGTATTTATATAGCGCCAAAGGGTATGCTCAGCGCTGTACAGTAGCAGGGGGGACAGAACATGAGAAAAGACAGTAACAATACAATACACGAGGGGTTCGAGGGCTCTGCTCTTTCGAGTTTACAATCTAGGAGATAATGTAATGTACTGTCTGTGATGATGCCCACAAAATAAGAGAACCTAAAGCAAATCGATTGTTTGAAGAATGCTGCCTGTGGGCAGTACTGGTTACTTTGTAGGACTCCCCTTTGCATGTTTGCACCTTGATCAAGGGGCCCTTCTTTCCTTCATTGCTGTGCACGGGATTGTATTGCATTTGGTGTTAGTACAGCTACCTCTACGTTACCTTTTGGTGTGGTGGTACTTGCAAGGTTCCATAATCTGAGTGCCATCTTCCCCCATTTCTTTAGTGCCAGCTGATACATACTGTCATCGTCAAGTGGCGTACACTGAGAATCATATGATCAGATTACTAGTATGTACACGGGTAAAGATGTGAGATGTAGAAGGGGAATTAAATCCGTGGATTGTGATGCAGTAAAGCACTTAATGTGGGAATCCGTACCAACATAGAGAAATAAAACGAAAGCCACACTTTATGAAAATCTAGTTTCCACAGTACATTTAGAATTTACAATTTGCAGTCATTGTTGTGCTGCCCTTTTTACAAGATTACCTCCTTCCTTGTTTTACCTTGGAAGCCCTAGTCTCTGTATCCTACATAATCTACATGGTTGAGCAATGTACTTCTCTTTTTCATTAAAAGTGTGAAGTCTGGAGGAATTTCCCTACTGTAATTCTGAGAAAAAGCACTTTGTTCTCAGAAGGGGATAGGGATTCTTGATTCTGGGTAAAGTGTTCTTTGGTGGTTTGTCATACAGCAGTTTTGGGGTAAAATGTGTTATAAAGTCCAAGATGAGCCTGCGTGAACCTTTGGTGGTATTGCCTTTTTTGTGGGCCTCCTGTTGGCATGCAAACATTTGCTCGAGGCATGTACAAATGTTTGTGTGTGTTTTGGGGTTTTTGTTTTTTGTTTTTTTTATATATTTCTTAACACCTTTTGCCATGGGCAAACAAAGTACATCGGAAACACAACTTTGCTCTAACTGCTCGAACACCAACTGGTGAAGGTGGCACAAAGCAAAACCTTATTGATGCTTGCAGTTAATGTTCATAGGATTTTATTTTTCACCCAGGCTTTAAGTTCAATATCGCAACACTGTCAGTGTTTGTAGATTTGTGCTGTACCTGGTAAATAAGCCACGCTATAGGATGCTGCCACCTAATACAACTTTAAAAAGACTTTTTTTTTTTTTTTTTTTTTTTTTTTTTTCACCAGACCACTCAATCTTCCTATAAGATTATCTGCGTGCTTAACCTCTTCACGCCAGCCGCACACAAATGTGCAACCTCCCGGTGTCTGGACCTAGACGCCGATCAGCCGCACATTTGCGCGCAATTAACAAAAACCATATGTGCTGAGAGCGCGTTCCCAGCACACTGGTCTGCTCTTTCGATCGGGACCTTTCCCGATCATGTGACCGCCGTGACGTCACGGCAGTCACATCCCTAAGCCCCCTCCCAGCTTCTGAAACTCTTAAAGGGCCGGGATGCGCCGGTGGGAAGGGGTTAAAGTGGTTGTAAAAGGTTTGGATTTTTCAGCCCCTCCCTCTGCTCCTTCCTCACTGGCTGTGATTGAAGGCAGTGCGAACCAATGGCTGTGTCTCAACTAATGAGGGAGAGATCCGGGAGAGCCTCTGCTCTCCTGCACATCGCTAGATCAGGCTCACGTAAGTATTAGGGCAGCTGCAGGGGGAAGTTTTTTTGTTTTTTTTTTTACCTTCATGCATAGAATGAAGGTAAAAACCTATTACTTTTCCAAACTGTGGCCCTTTGCATGCCCATAAGCAGCCCTTGGGGCACTGTTTTTTTTCCACTGACGTAAACAGTGAGCCATCATTCATTCCACTGGTACCAATGATGGGGCACGATTCCTTTCACTGACACAATGGGTAACTAGTCCTTTATCTGAAACCAATGTTGGGGCACTATTCCTCCTACTAACACCAACAATGGAACACTTTTTGCTCCCAACAATGCCAGTGATAGGGCAGTAATCCTCCTACTGACCACACTGGTCCTACTGGTATGTCCTTTTCTTACCCTCACTGACGACCAAGCCTAAGGCATTGTTTAATCACAGGTAGGCTGTTTTCTACTCCTAATGACCACAGTCCAACCAACCTGAAGTCTGAAGGACAGCAATCTGGCACTTAGTCTAGAATGTTTATAGATACATACCCTAGCATATTCAGAGACTCATTTCAAGTCAAAATGTTTATGAAAAAGAAAATCGCTGCATATAAGCATTGAAAATCCTCAGCCTGCCTGTCCTCCAGTTGCTGAAGGGAAGATCAATATGTTGCTCTGACTCTTGCTGACTGCCCCCCCCCCTCCGAAGTCTCCACTCTCACCTTTATGCAGCTGAGAACAAAGGTTGTGTTCTTATTAAAATAAATAAATGAAAAGGTAATGTTTTAATATGATCTCAGAATAAAGGGTATATTTTAAATTCATCAACACTTTATAACAGATTATGTAGGACACCATTCTGTAACAGTATTTTTGTGAACAACCTAAAACATTTGTGTATTTGTGCATAACAGATCTAGTTTAAAGTGACTGTCACTGTTTTATGGATAATTGAAGCATGTCCCTCCCTGTGAAGAATGCAATTGGGCACCTGCTCCGCTTTGTGAATAGCAATCTACCACAGATCGCTTTTCACAAACTGACGCAGGTTTAAATGAGCCCCTGATGTTTGCCTGTCCTACTGCCAGCACTGTTGTACTTCTCTAAATTGAAGGAGATGCATGAGATCCTTCTCAGATTGTTGAATGATAGTGGTGGTTCCTGCTATGTTCCTTCACTGTGATGTAGGGGCCAGCAAAGGAATCCACAGAGCATATCAAGGGTCACCATCATTTGCACTACCTGGAGTGACCTTTGAGGTGGTCTTTTGAGAGTTTCATTCTTCAACCCAGAGGAGTTCAGCAGTGTGAGCATCTGGACAGGAGTGCGCTGCTTTCTTTTTAGGAATGGCTGCACTTAGTTACTTGCCATTTTCAAAACTTGGAGTATGGTCACTTTTGGGCGAAAAAAAGGCTGCTACTGTTGCTCTTTTTTTTAAAATGCTAGATGCCTGGCAATTTCTGCCTTCAATATTTTGAGCCTCACACCTGGAACAAGCATGCAGCTCGTTAAGCTGGAATGAGATCAGAACATGTATGTACTGCATGCTTGTTCTGAGTCCGTGTTGAAGCTGATGTTTTGGCATGAGAACCATATAATCTTTTTCTTTTTCTTTTTTTTTTTTTTTTTTTTTTTTTTTTTTTCTCCAGATGTCAATAGTAGCTGCTTATGTGTTTTTTCAATACACATTTCCTGGAACTTTTTATGTTTTGGTTTTAATTTGCAGGCTTCCTTGTTTGCTAGGAGTAAGCCTCCTCTTCAGGCTGCCTGGGTATTTGAGCTTCTTTTTTTGCAACTGATGACTGTTCTTGTCTTGCAGGTGCTGTTCCTCAGAGTGCTCCGCCAGTTCCTTCAGCTTCCTCCCACTTCCACTTTTCTTCTCTGGACTCCCCCAATGAAGATGCCCATGTCAGTCGTTTCTCTGGGAGCTCCACAGCACAGTCCAGCCGTGAATCCTTGAATGATATTGGTGAACGCAAACAGATGCCTTCAGACCCTGAGGACTTACACTCAGAATGGCGCCGCAGCGCAGACCTGATGTCCTCACGAAACACAATTGGCCCTGGCACCCATGGCCTCCAGAAGCATAAATCTGATCTCATGCTTCCAGTATTCCCAATGCCTGGAATGTATGCAGATCCCCACAGTCCTTTTGCGGTCTCTCCTCTTCCTGGACGTGGAGGGTTACTTAATGTGCCCATCTCCCCTGCCTTGTCTTTGACTCCAACAGTCTTTTCTTACAGTCCCTCTCCTGGACTAAGCCCAGCTTTTCAGAGTGGCAGCTGCTTTAACTTCAACCCTGAAGAGATGAAACACTACCTGCAAGCTCAGGCTTGCTCTGTACTTAACTACCATCTAAGTCCACGGACTTTACCAAGAATGCCCAGTTTTATGATGCCACCACCTCAGCGCCCTTATCCTCCTGAGGAGCAGCCAGCATTCCCTATTAAGCTGCAGCCTCCCCCAATGGGACGGAGGAATAGGGAGCAGCCCCAAACTCCAGAGGCTATGATGAGACCTCTTCCTCCACAAGCTCCCTTGCCACCTGTGAAGGTGGAGCCCGTGTCCGACGACGAGGTGATCTCTGAGGAGGAAGCGGAGCTTTCAGACCATCCAGACAAAGAAGAGTTTGAGAGTGATGAAGAGAAACCATCTCCAAGACCAGTTGCTGAGAAGGACAGGCATACATTTATCAAACCCGCTGCCCCTTCCTGGCCAAATTTCCCCACAGTTTCACTTCAAGTGAACTACCCCAAGGAGGGTACAGAACAACCAGCTGAGGCTGGAGACAAGGCAGTTAAGGATACTTCCACTACTGTTGTGGTAGAAAAGAAGGAGGACTCTTTGCCCCCCAAATTTCGCCTTAAACGTCTCTGGAACGGCGAACGACAAGCAGAGGGCATTGAGGAACGAGAGTGCCGAAAAGTCAGCTGCATCATCAGTGGCTTGCGTGTCACTGACCTTCCAACTGAAACAAAGGCTGTAGCAGCCACTGATCCTAGTACTGGAACATGTATTTTATATAAATATATATATTTTTTTATTTTGTAATCTCAATGTAGCATTGCTGCAGAAAGGTTGAGGTTAAAGGTTTGGTTGTATGAATTCCTGGACTTCGCTGACATTGCAGGTGATGCTTAATTCTGTATATCTTTTGAGTTTTCAAGGGGGAAGATTCCCACTCGAGGTGGGAGGGGGTAGGTTTAAATTCAACAACCTGATATCTGCATTTGCCTGCTAGATGGGAAAAGGAAAAATACTTTTACATTGGTTTGTTGTGGTGAATACTCTGTTCAATGATTATTATTATTATTACTTAGGAGTATCCAATTCAGAGTGACGTTACTTTGCACTCTATTTTTTTTTTTTTGGAATTCTTTTTTAAGTTTTTGGAAATAGGATTTAGGATTTCGAACACTCCCTTGGTTTTCTTTTTAATGTAGTGGGTTTATTTTGTTTTTTTGGTTTTTTTTTTGTTTTCTTTCCATTTTTTTAGGAGGTGCATTTGGTGTAAACCTGACACACTACAAGATAGCTTGTAGGGGCTCCAGAACGGGTGGTGTTTAACACAAATTCAGCCCATATTCCCGTGTGATGTCATGAGCACAATATTATATACATTATAGAATTTTTTATTTTATTTTTTTCCCTTTTAAACCCGTCACAAAGTTTAAAACAGCAGTGCTTCGCTAACGTCTCAAATGACTGTACTACCTCTTGCTCAGCTGGGCCAATTGGAATGGGGGGCAAAGTTGTGTTGTGCTTGCCTAGCATTTATTGATGTTTGTGTCATAATTTAAAGGCTCTTCTCGAGTTGTGATTCATGACAAAGGAACTTCAGGATGTGTAACTTGTGGTTTGGTGACCTACAGGAAGCAGACTTGAGAGAATGCAGGAAGTTGAGGGATGTTAAACAAAGACTCTTAAGTTGCTGGTCATAGTCGCTTTGTCTGCTGCCTCCTTTTTCGCAGAAGTCGGCTTGCATTTCCTCTGTGATGGTTAGAACATTCCTGATGATAAATCCCAACCAGAAGCCAAAACTTTAAATATTCAAACTTTCTAAGCAGGTGATCTAGGTCGCTTATCTAGTTATTTACTTCATCAAAGATCCCATTTTAGAGATATTTGCCATGTGGTTAACTTAACCACTTCATTTCCAGAAGGTTTTACCTCCTTCATGACCCGGGCAATTTTTTGCTAATCAGCACTGTGCTATTTAACTGGCAATTGTGCGGTCATACTATGCTGTACCCAAGCAAAATTCATATCCCCTTTTTTTTTTTTTTTTTTTTTTTTCACTCAAATAGAGATTTTTTTCAGGTGGTATTTGATTGTTTTATTTTTTTAGTATATAAATGACTGAACATTTTGAAAAAAATTTTAAAATATATATATTTTCTACTATAAAACATCCAATAAAAAAATCTAATTTTCTCATAAATTTAGACCGAAATGTATTTTTTGCTACATATCTTTTTGGTAAAAAAAATCCCAATAAGTGTAAATTTAATGACACTGGCTGGGAAGAGTTTAACATCTAGGGGTTATCAAGGGGTTAACTGTGTGCCTAACAGTGTGTAATGTGTGCTGCTATTACTTTTACTATCTGGCTCTTTTTTTTCTCCCTGCCTTTCAAGGAGAAGAAATTGACAGATTGCTGTACAGAGTTCTTTGTGTTTCTAAACACAGAAGTGTGTCTGTGTGTGAGATTGGTCACAGCTGATCAGTTGACTTCAGCCAAAATCATTGAAATCAGCTGCCAAAATCATTGAAATCAGCTGCCAAACTCTGCCGTGTCCAATCGCAGCACGGGTTGGCAGGGGGTGAACACATGTGCATCTCAAATCCGCAGGCAAGCTGGCGGCGTACAGGTATGTTGTCTGGCCTGCCTGTGCCACTTGCCTACAGTAAAACTACTGTGGGCGGGCAGCAAGCTGTCAAAATGCAGTACTTGCACAAACTAAGGCTACGTTCACACTAGCCTTGTGTGCAGGCGGCAGAGAGGCGTTTGGGAAGCGTTTTTACCGCTTCCCAAACGCCTCTGCCAATTCTGCACATTACAGCACATGGTGCTGTTCTAACAGGAGCGTTTGCGTCGCGTTGCGTCGCGGCAAAACGGACGCCTCTGGTCGAGTCAGGAGGCTTTGAAGCCTCCTATTCTCGTCTATGGTGCCGCTCCGCAAACGCCCGGCCGGCGTTTGCGGTGCGGTTGCGACGCGCGGTTGCGGGGTGTTTGCGGAGCGGTAACACCACTCAAATGCATTATAGGCGTTTGTGGGGCGTTATTAACACTCGGCAAACGCCTAGCAACCGCCGCTAAACCACGCATGCGGCGTTTGCGGAGCGTTTGCCGAGCGTTAAAAACGCTCCGCAAACACCGGACCAACGCTTGCCAAGCGCTATAGGGGCGTTTGGCAAGCGTTGGCAAAACAGCCTAGTGTGAACGAGCCCTTAATCTTGAATAAAGTTAGTATCTAGTCTTATTGCGTATTTGTTTAGATCCTGGTACCCACATATTTTAAAATGAGTACTAAAATGTTGCCAGTTTCGGTACCTGCCAGGCATTTAGACTTCGTAAAACTGAAAATGACAGATGGTGGCCCAGCATAGTACATCATTGTGTGGCCACATTCTGGAACACAATTACATATGTCATAATGACACTGCAAAAGAAGTACTTGGGCAGTTCATCAGGAGTTGACTAGTTATTTCCTCTCTTGCACATCTACATCTGCTGAAGTTTCTTGAACCTCTGACTGTTCTGGATGTGTCCTGTGCCTGCATTCCCTGCTGTGTACTGTACTGCCACTCTATATTGCTACTGGGTTCCTACACAGCTCTAGTGAGTAGGACCACCGTGTACAGCAGGGGACGCACCCTGTCTAAAGAGTCTTCACCCAGTAAAAATTTGAGAGGGTCCGAAGTTTGACATCAGCACCTGACATACTGGTATTTAAAGCTTTTTCTTTTGCAGGGTGGATTGTTTTTAATTTTGTTTTTTGTTTTGTTTTTTTATCCTATTTTTTGTTGAAAACGGGACAGCAACAGATTTTGTGTTTTTGTTTTGTTATTTTGTTGTTTTTGTTTTGTTTTTGTTTTGTTGTTTTTGTTTTGTTGTTTTTGTTTTGTTGTTTTTGTTTTGTTGTTTTTGTTTTGTTGTTTTTGTTTTGTTGTTTTTGTTTTGTTTTGTTGTGTTGTTTTTTTTTTTTTTTTTTTTTTTTTTTTTTTGTAGAATGCTTCTCTTAGCACTGGGAGACACTCCTAATGACAGTAGGTAGGGAGAACTGGGAACTTTGGTGCAGAGATCTTACTTTTGAACTCTCTGAAAATCTAAAATGCCATTAGAATATTTAAACAATAAGCAGCCTTCAAAAGCAGCTGGCTGTTTTTGCAGTGTGTGTGTGTGTGTGTGTGTGTGTGTGTGTGTGTGTGTGTGTGTGTGTGTGTGTGTGTATGTATGTATATATGTATGTATATATATAAAAAAATTTCTGTAGCCTGTCCTGTCTGTTAAGGCTGGTTCACGCCAGACCAGTGTATTATTTTTTGTTTTTTGGCTTTGTGTTTTTTTTTTTTTTTTTTTTTTTTTTTTATTCTTAAAAAAATGCAGAACAGTGTCTATGGCCCATGTTCACTCCAGTTCAGTCAAGAAAAGTAGAACACGTTGTGTTCCATAAAAAATGCATCATAAACGTGCATGAACTCATCCGGAGAACAGAAATTGTGGTGTGAACTGGCCCTTAAGGGTTTCTGTCATATCTCAGTGGATATCATGGTAGTAAATGAAACAGCTGGACATGCTGATAATTCTTGAAAACTTTCTTCACTCATCACGGTGATTTCTTCAGTTTGTGATTTCCCCGACATTTAAACACCTATGGTTTCTCTAGTCACTAGAACCCAGTTGGAATGTCACGGACCTTGCGGTAGACGTTAGGTGAAATACGTAATCTGAGGTGTGATTGTTAAACATGAATCTTATTTCGGCATATTTAATGTGTGTAGCATGTGATGTTGGTTATGGACCTTTTTAGAAGACAAAGTTCAGTAAGGAAGAGGAAAACGTCTTTGTTATTGCTCTGTGTAGTCTCAACTTTAATTGGTTGCTCTTATTATGTTTGAGAGCTTAAATCATTGAGTGTCAGAGAAACAAGGCATGATTTTGATGTTCCCCACCATTTTTTGCTGTTATATGTACTCAATGAGCTCATGTTTGTGGATAGAGCTGGCTGTCACCTAGGGTGAAATCCAGAGCTCAGCAGTTTTGGGGTGAGGGAGATGCTTCAAGCAATGATCTGATCTGGCCTTTTTGTAGTGACTTGTTTTAATAAAATAAACCAGTTTGATGGGAAGTACGTCCGGGGTTTTGTTTTTTTAATGATTTTGCGTGTCCTTGGACTTGAAGCGGAACTACACTGCATTTGAGCACCACAAACCAAAAATGCTGTTTGATTCATTTTTTAAATACAAAGCAAACTCGCCCATCCATCTATGTCTCCATGCTTTATTTTGCTGAGAAATTGCATTGAAAAACACCTCTTGGCATTTCTGGTTGTGGCCATCTTGAGTAAGGGCAGATGATTCATGTAGTGTTTTTTAAATCCTGGAAACCTTAGCTCAGGTAGGAAGGTGTGCTTACCTGAGAAAAGCCCTCCTTCTCTCCTGAAGACTCATGGGTTGAATGACATCACTTGCCTAGGCCTGGAAACCAGGACGTTTCTGCGCAATCTCGAGGCACCGCATTCTAAATTGTAAAAAATAACAATGTTTCATAATGCAACTACATCCACACCCCGGACACCCAACGTATTTATTCTGCCAAAGCAAATATACGTTTGCACACTGGTGCTGACTAGTATTCCAGCGTTTCTCTTCTTCCTCAGTTTCCCTCCCACACTCGACCGAGCTTCTGCCTGAAGAAATCTGAATGCACCCTGGTTGAAAAAGGCTGCTTGTAACTAATCCAAAATATAAAGGACAAACGGAAATAGAGCTCAACATCAAACTACATACGTTTAAATATGGAGCTGCTAAAAATATGAAATGGTCAT